CACAAAAAGTTGAAAACAGTAAAGATTTCTTCATGAATGTGCAACAACCAAAACTTAACTGCCTAAATTGTTACTAGGTGTTATTGACAGAACACACTCTTGTTGCATTTCTTGAGCAAAAATATACATATATGTGTGTGTGTGTGTGTATATATGTATATATATACACACACACAAGGACACCGACATTGTGTATATATATATACACAATGGGTCTCATTCACCTGACCCTGAAGGCTTCACTGACATGGCAGCACTGAGAAGGATGAGAAAGGAGAGACCGATAAAATCTCAAGGCCGAACTAGGCTGCCACAACGAAGGAAGACAATAATGATCATCTGTACTTTCAATGCACGTACGCTAGCATCAGATGCATCCATCGAGGACCTGATGGTACAAGCACAAATGATCAAGTACGACATCATTGGTCTGACCAAGACAAGAAGGCACGAATCTCACCATGCTGTTTTCGACACTGGAGAATTGTTCCTTGGAACATGCGATAAAAGAGGTGTCGGAGGCGTCGATGTCCTTGTCAACACAAACTTGGCCATGAGCACTGATTCATTCAAATGCCTAACAACCGGAATCGGACGTTTACATTTGAATAGATGTGGCTCACTGCCTGCAGTTTCTATCTTCGTTGTTTACGCACCAACATCTCATTATGATGAAAGAGAAATCGAGAAGTTCTACATGGAGCTGGAGAAGTTCTATAAAGAAGACCACACCTTCTACAAGATCATTGTGGGTGATTTTAATGCCAAGATAGGACCGAGAAGATCAGCTGAAGAACTTCACATCAGGACCCATGGCCTAGAATGGAATGAACAGGGTGAGAGACTGTCTGAGTTCATCATCTCAACCAAGACCATCCATGGTAACTCACAGTTCCAGAAGGCAGAATCTAAACGTTGGACATGGGAGTCTCTCGGTGGACAATTCCACAACGAAATAGACCACATCATGTTCAATCGACGGTTTTGCCTTACCGATGTCGCTGTTGTCCCAAAATTCTGAAAGGGATTGGACCACCGTCTCCTTTGTGCAAAATTCTACTTCACAGAGCGGGGAGAAAGGGCTGCAAAGTTTAAAAAGAGAACTCCCAGAACAACCACCAACTGGGAGCTCTTTGGCACTATTGCAGCAACATGGCAAGATGCCATTGTTGACAACATTGATGAGGAATACGATCGACTGGTTCAGCACCTCCATGAATGTGCGAGGAACGCCAAGAGAGAGAGATAGCCACAAAATAAACGCCTGTCTTCGAAAACTCTTGAGCTTATTCGCCAGTGTGGTTTGGCACATGCCTCAGGCAACCGCAAGCTAATGTCCGAGCTCGCGAAGCAGTGCAGAGATGCGATCAAAGAAGACCTCAAAGAGAGAAGAGCAGAAGTGCTGGTAGATGTGGCAGAAGCCGGGAAAAGTATTCGTAACGCCCGCCTGTCCTTCGCCAACTACAAGACCAAGATGACTGCCCTCCGATGTCCTGATAGATCCATCACATCCTCCAGAAAGGCAATGGAGAAGATTATCCATGACTTCTACTCAAATCTCTTCGATAGCCATGTCCACTTGCCGACATACCAAATTCCACAGGATGGATATGTCGTTCCCAACATTCTCCCTTCCAAAATCCGACACGCCATTTCGTTGGTAAAGAAACAAACAGCACCCGGCCCAGGCAAGGTTAGACCCAAACACCTGAAGAACCTGCCGTCAGTACTCATCAATACACTGGCTCGGCTCTTCACTCGCTACCTGTCTGAATGCAAGGTTCCGTCCCAATGGAAAACCAGCAGGACCGTACTACTGTTCAAGAAAGGAGACATCCATGACATTGGCAACTATTGCCCGATCTGCCTATTGTCTGTCATCTACAAGTTGTTCACTCAAGTCATCCTAAATAGGATTGGCAGAACACTAGATGAAGGACAACCATGCGAGCAAGCCGGGTTCCGCAAAGGATTCAGCACCATCGACCATATCCACACGATAACCATGCTCAATGAGGTTTCTTGGGAGTTCAAGATGCCGCTCTGTTTAACGTTCATTGATTTAAAGAAGGCCTTTGATTCTGTTGAGACAGAAGCGGTCATTGAAGCCCTAGCCAATCAGGGCATTCAAACCCAATACATCAAGATCCTCCATGAGCTGTATTGCGGATTCACTACCAGGATCTCACCATCTACAAGGAAGTAATCATTGATGTCAAGAGAGGGGTTCGGCAGGGTGATACCATTTCACCGAAACTCTTCAGTGCCACCCTCGAGATCATGCGATGACTGAAATGGGAAGGAACAGGAGTGAAGATAGATGGTCAGCAACTACACCACCTCCGCTTTGCTGATGACATTGTTTTAATAACACCAAACATCAGCCAAGCGGTACAAATGCTGGCCAACTTTGACCGTGAGTGTGGAAAGGTAGGACTACAGCTGAATCTTATGAAGACAATGTTTATGAGAAACAGCCTCGTTCCTGATGCCCCATTCACTCTCAATGGAACGACCATCTCCGAATGCAACAGCTATGTGTACCTAGGTCGAGAAGTCAACATAACAATTGATCTGGCACCCGAGCTGCGCAGGAGGAAGAGAGCGGCGTGGAACGCCTTCAAGAATGTCGAAGAAATAGCTAGAGGACAAAGAACCTCCAGCTCCGGGCACATCTCTTTGATTCCACTGTTCTTCGTGCATTAACATATGCCTCAGAGACCTGGGCCCTACGCAAATAGGATGAGAATGCTATTCAGGTCTCCCAAAGAAGAATAGAAAGAGCTATGCTTGGAATATCACGTTTCACTCAAATGAGAGAAAGAATCCAGAGTTCCGACATCTGTTGACGATCAAGAATCAGGGACGCTGTCTCATTTTCCAAGGTGTCAAAAATCAGATGGGCTGGTCACATAATGAGATTTAAAGACAACTGCTGGACTAGAGCTGTTACCAACTGGATTCCACGGGATGTCAAAGACCGCGTGGCCGCCCACCTACTAGATGGTCAGACTTCTTCATCAAGATCATGAACGATCGGTTTGAGGCTCTTCATGTTCCCAGAGCAAACAGATGCCATTGGGCTACACTAGCACGCGACAAGGACAAATGGAGACGTTACTGGTGCCCACTCGAGCAAATTGACGACTAACGGGAAGTTAAGTGAGTGATACACACACACACACACACATCTATCTATCTATCTATCTATCTATCTATCTATCTAATGCTCTGGCTCTGCATGATTAGACAATTAAGAGGTGTCTAACTATGTGTAAAACTACCTTACTGGAGTAATCACTACAGGAGACTCAAAGAAACCTGTTCTTGTTCTCAAGGAATACCCTTTTGGTAGAAAACTATATAAATAGTAAAAACAGAATGAGGTAACTTCCAAAAGAAAAGCACTGAAAATTTCTACTTGAACCCAAAAAGGAAAGTACTTCCGTTTGGTTGAATTAAAGAAGCATTTGAGGAGTATTTTGGAAGATGATTTTAGGTATAGATAAGAATGATATTTCAAAGATGGAACATCATTCATGAAAACAGTTAAGTGAAGGCTAGTACAGGCATGGAAATGGTGATGACCTATCTTGGGCAAAGAAACATACCAATTCTGGACCCTGCTTTGGGCTCCTGTGAGAACATGAAGTTACTTCAGTGGTCCCTCAAACCGCTGTTAAACTCCAGAGGTAATAAAAACTGTCTTGATCTCACTATGGTCACATAGATATTTGTATTGAATTAACTATCAATTAACACAACATACATTCAACAATATTTTTAAATTCGTAAGATGATTGGTACACTTCTAAATTAACAAAAATCAAGCGAACAACTAATATAACGTGCTAATCTAAGAGGCATAGTGCTCAAAAAAGTATACGAAGTCCACATAGTTTAGAGTATTCTATAATTTTACAAACTTTTATCTGAATGGTAATTCTCATAATCAATTGTATGATACTGGGCAAATTTTTCCAAGTTTCTTTCCTCATCTATACAGTGGATAAAATAAAATCAAGTTTCGTTGATTAGTGAAACACGTGGCACATTTTAGGTGTGAAAAGCCGAGATCAAATTAAAGTTCATCTCGAGTACAAAATTAAGGAATCCGTCCTTTATTTTTGGGTGCGATTTTAGTGTAAGTTTTGTTTGACAGAACCTTAGGAGAAGGAAGGTTATAATAGCAATCCAGCTGAGGTATAATTAAGGATTGATTTTGTCTCAGAATCTGAGGAGAAGGTGATAACAGCAACAACCCAGGTGAGGTATAATTGAGGATTGACAAAGATTTTGCAACGTTTCTGACTATAAACGACAGGACTCCACGTCTGTGTGTGAGGAAACGAAGTAAAAAATCTGCCACTTTGTGCAGCGCTGGTTATTAACAATGGAAAAGTCAATATAAAAAGTTCCCTTCTGCACATTCTCAGAGTGCGCACCTAACATTAGAGGGGCTGCAGATGCATACCGAAGAATGACAGCAAGCATGATTTATGTTGAAAACAGAACTCTAGAACTCTCGCTGATTCTCTTAAAACTGACGCAGGAAAAAACAAACAAAAAAAACCCAAAACAAACAAAACCATCCTATGTCCTAGCAGCGTGACTGCTGCACGCTCAGGTATACCGTGGCAGCATTCAGGGAAACACGCCGGAGAACGCCCACAGATTGGGCGCTAGGAACGCTAGCGCGCACGGGCGCACAGGCATGACGCCACGAGACGCGCAGGGCGCGCTTGCGTTCCGCGGGCGTCGTGCGTCGTTACCATGGAGACACGTCGGGGCGGGCCCGCCCCCGCCCCTCGCCCCTCGCCCCGCCCCTTTCCAGCCTCACGTGGGCGCGGGTGCGGGCGCGGGGGCGCGCGCGTCTTCGGAGCCGCCCTCGCGGAGGCTCGCGGCCGGCCCGGTGGCTCCTGCACCGCGTTGGGCCTCCCCCTAGCGTCAGGCTGGAGCGGGGCGGAGCTGGCGTCCCCGACTCCCCGGCTCGGCCCCTCAGCGCCCGGTGAGGGGCGACGCCTCCAGGAAAAACGGAGGAGGTGCAGGAAGCTGACCTTGGCGCAGGCCGAGTCCTGGAGAAGGAAAAAAAACCAACCTCTCCGGCTCCAGGCCACCAGCGATGGGAGACGGCGGGTCGCACTGCGACGAGCAGCTGGGTGGTTTCAGTCAGCACAAGGCGGACGTGAAAGCCGGCGAGACGGCCGCCGCCGCCGCGGCCGCCTCGGCCCAGGACAATTGCATATTCTGCCGAATCGCAGGGCAGAAGGACTCGAACACCGAACTCCTATACTGTGAGGTGGGCGGCGACCGGGTGCCCCAGGCCCTTTGCATCTCTCGGAGGGGCTCGACCGGGTTGGCTCGACCGGGCGGGGAGAAAAAAAAATGTAGGGGAAAAACGCCAGATACTTGGCGCCTTTCACTGCAGGTGCCTTGGCACGGGGCGGAAAGTCGCCTTCACGGCCTCTGGTTTTAGGAAAGGGCCGATTGGGGGGTCCTTGGGAGAGAGAAGCTTATTTTTTTTCCCAAGACGGAACACTAGGCTAGGCTGGGAGGAGAGGGTCTGAGGCTGAAGGCGGCTGCCTCTGATTTCCGTGCAAGAGTGCACAGCAGAAGACTTGAACCGCGGGCATGTTTTTCCCAACGCCGAGACTTTTGTCTATTTTGTTTTTTATTTTCTCATTTGGCGGGAGGCCAGTGTTTGGAGCTGCACCCCGGAGTGCCCGGCTGTGTGCTGCTGGCGTTGCTGCTGGTGGAGCTTAGAGGACTCTGAAGTGGCTTGGCAGGGATCGGACCTGGGCTCTCTCGTGCATGCATGCAAAGCAGGAGCTCAGCTCTGTGAACTGTCTCAGCCCCACCCCACCGGATTATTTATTTATTTATTTATTTGCTTTTTGGATCACACCCAGCGTGTATGTGTATATATATATATATATATATATATATATATATATATATATACACATATATATTTATTTATTTTTGGGTCACACCCGGCAATGCACAGGGGTTACTCCTGGCTCTGCACTCAGCAATTACTCCTGGCGGTATTCCGGGGTCCATATGGGATGCTGGGAATTGAACCTGGGTTGGCCGCCTGCAAGGCAAACGCCCTACCCGCTGTGCTGTCGCTCTAGTGATATTTTTAAAAACAGGCTTAAAACCTCCTTTTGAGAAAAAAAAAATTAGCTCCACGATTATTCTTTTTTTTTCTTGTACACTCATTTGTTCAATATCAGTTTAGTTCTTTGCAACGCCCTGAGATTCAGAGGTGAAGGAGAAGACCCAATGCAGGGATGTCCAGATCTTATAAGTAAAGAATAATTGGGTCCGCAACCGATTACAGCGCCCAGTGCCATCAGGAGGTGATTTTGCCAACCTGTAGTGGGTGGGTCTCCTAACCATGATTTGAAGGAAGGCTTGCCAGAGGAAGGGAGCCATGAAGATGAGTAACTAGGAGTTGACCAAGTGAAGAGGAGGAGAGAAGAATGTGGCAGGCAGAGAAAACTGTCAGGACTTGTCATAAGAGCACTAACAAATGCAGCTTACCAGGAGCATAGACTGTGAGGGGATGAGAGTAGTGAAGGATGAGGCTGGAGAGATAAACAAGGAGCCAAGTGAGGTGAAGATACTGTAATTTAAATTAGTTTTGTCTTTTTTGTGCATCATGGAAGGAATCTCTGCAGTTTCCACTGCCCTGGTGCGTGGATGGGGACTGAAGAGTTTATCTGATTCCCACAGCACCAAGTGGAGAACGATTTGGAGAGGACCAGTTCTGGTGGCTTGAAGACCTGTTTAGGAGGCTGTTGAAGTAATACTTGATGATGATGACTTGAAATACAAATTGTAATACAAATTGTGAGGGAAATGAATCAAAGGATGTTTGGGAGGTGAAACTGGCAGAACTTGTCAGTGGATTCAGATCAGTGGCTGTCATTGGGGAAATCCCCACCTCTACCCTCAGGAAAATTTTGACAAAGTGTGAGACACTTTTGCCTGTGGAAGAGGAGTGAGGACTGAGGGCAAATAATGGGTAGAGTTCAAGTTGATGCCCAGAGTTGTCTCCTGCACGCACAAAAATAGTATCTGACCTTCCAGAGTGAGTAGTGCTTAAGTTGAGATTCCTTAATTAAGGATAAAGGGGATGTGAGAAAGACAATGGTGAAATCAGGAATAATTTCCAGGTGTCTGGCAAGGGTAAAATGGGAGTGGTGGTACTGTTTCATTAAGGTCTGAATGTGGAGAGAGTTGATGGGATTACCTAGGAAATACATATAGAATAATAAATGAAATGGGTCATTGGGCTGGAGAGAAATTATAGCGGTTAAGGATCTTGCCTTGCATTCCACTCACCCAGTTCAAATTTCCAGCACCACATATGTTTCCTAAGCACAGCTGGGGTAACTCCTATGTACAGAGTCAGGAAAAGCCCCAGAGCACAGCTGGGTGTGGTTCACCGCTTTCCCATCAAAATGAAGGGGACTCTACAGAACTAAATAACACATTGGAAGGGACATCAAAGGAGGAAGGGATATCACCTTGGAAGGAATGTCAAAAGGAGAGAGCCTAAAAAGGGAATGAAGATCACTCAGAGATAGTCCGAAAACCAGGATTGCTAAAGGGAAGGACTACTTTGAGAAAAAAGGGGAATTGTCAACATATCAGCAGCAGGATCAGCTTTTCCTAATCTCAAGTCAAAATTTTATCTGGTCTAGTCCTTAGTTCTCCTGTTTGCTAACAGAAAAGCATAGGTCAGTTCCATCTGATTTTATCCCCAAAGGTATGGTCATTGGCCTTCCATAGAGAAATTGCAGTGCAGTGGTGAGGATGGTGGAGATTATGGTCTATAATCTGGTGAGAAGAAGACGACCATGCATACAACTTTTGAAGGAGGAAGTTTGGTAGTCTAAGGGAGGTGCTAAAGGTAGTGATAATTTCAGGAGTTGGGAGACTATGAAAGCTTTTAAAACAGAAGGTTTTGGTGTGTTTAAATGGTGATAGGAAGTTACCAATGGACAGAAGTTTAAAATGTTTCAGGGCAATAGCCTTTTGTATCTGGAAAAGAGCAAACTCCGTTGCTCATTCATTATTTGGTATTTGGTCGAGTATTTGCCTTCTATGTGCCAGGTACTATTGAAGGCTTTGAGAATATAGCAAGAATCAAAATATGCAAATATCCCTATCCTCCTGGTGGTTACATTATTTTTTGGAAATAAATAAGAAGCAACATAGTAAAATACATGATTTAACAGTGGAAAAAATAGAAGAGGGAAGGAAGGGGACACATTTCTACAAAATTATAGAACCTGAAAAGGGAATGAAGAACACTCAGAGAAAAGTTGTACTCTAAAGATAGCATTTAAATGAATACTTGAAGGAGGAGAGGGAAGGATTAAATTATAATTTGAAGTAAGTAGTTTCTTTGGAACCTGGAGAGAGTCATGGAAGCAGAAGGGTTGCTGTATTGGATAGGTTATGGTTGAGGATTTTAAAGCCTGTCAGATGTGTGATCACCCTCAGCTCCTAGCAGGCCAAGCCTAGTTTCTGAATGGATGAGTAGTGGTGTTAATCCCACAGTTGGGTTTGGTCATGTTGTAAAATACAGTGGCTCAGAGGTAAGAATGTATGACTTCAGTGTGGCTGAAGTGATATTATGAAGTTTAGAGTCTACACTTAAGGAAAGTGAAGGCAGCAGACAAAGGAAAAAATTACATGACTGTCTCTTTTGAACTGATCAGTAAAGGCATAAGCCACCAACCTTTGCCTCTTCATTTACTACCTGTTTTACTAAATATAAAATAGGCTACTCAGGTGTAAACTGAGTTTTTTCTTTTTACTAAATATAAAATAGGTTATTGAGAGCTAAACTGAGTTGTTTTTAGTTTTAGTCTGTTCTGATTTCCAGAAACTGATGTTAAATTTTGTACTCCCAGTAACAATGTTGAATACAATGAACAGAAAGTATATACTAGTAGTTGCAAGGTTTGTCCAAAAATAGTCATCCAAATGTGGTGAAATGGTCCAAACTTCTCTCTCTCTCTCTCCCTCTCTCTCTCTCTTTATTTTTTTGGATCACAGCTTGTGATGCTCAAGGGTTACTCCTGGCTCTGCACCCAGGAACTATCCGTGGGGGTACTCAGGGAACCATATGGGATGCCAGGGATTGAACCTGAATCAGCCAGCAAGGCAAATACCCTATTGTCACTTCGGACCCAGATGGTTGAAATAGTTTTCTTTGCTGAAGGTCAAAACCTTCTTTGTTATGAACATCAGAGCAAAATATATGGAGAGCGTGGGAAAAGTTTTATAGAGAAAATGAATCATGAGATGTACTTAAATTTTTTAATTAGTGAGCACAAGATGGATACATACAAAGCCGATTATAGTAACATAAACAAAGTGCACATGGTTATATAACTAATTATACTCCAAAAAGCTGGGTACTTTTACAAATTGAATCAAAGGTGATTTGAGGCCAAGAATGATACCTGATACTGCTGGGTGTGTCCCCAACCTCCCTTAGTCCCAGTGATTTGATATACTAGAACTCACAAAGTTTAATCTTTTTTTTTTAAATAAATAGATTTTATTTGGAGGGTTTTAAAGGTGTGTGTGTGTGTGGGGAGAGAGAGAGAGAGAGAGAGAGAAATGCACTCAAGAGAGTACATGGGCTTCTCCAAGGCGGAGAGAGCCCCTATACACATCCTAGCATTAGACACGAAAGCATGAAAGTACACATCTCAAGGGGAGATCTGGGCGACACATGTGCTTGGGCACCACGTGTGCTCGGACACGTGGGCGCAAGCAGCACAAGGGCTCGGGCAGCATATGCGCTGTTTAATCTTTTTTTTTTTAAGTATAATTATATAACATTTGATGTTTATGCTGTACCTTAGAGCAAGACCCGAAATAATGTTCCATTCAGTGTAGATAAACTTGGACTTGGGGACTTTGTCTTCCTAAAATGAGATCCAGAGATCAGAAAGCAGTGTGACTAACATTTTTGAATGTTATTTCCAGTGGGAATACTATCGACATTTTAGGCTGTATTGTTTTGTTGGTCATTCCCTCTTTTGCAGTAAGGTTAGCAGTATATAGTTTAGCAGTATATTCCTAACTTCTGAGGAACAAATGCTAGTAACACCCATAAACTGAGAACACCTATATTTCTCTACTCCCTGTTGAGATACAGCACTGCTTCGGAGTTATACTCTACACACCAGCAATCTGTGCTGACCAAAAACATTTTTGACTTTCATGAAGCTAGTGATTAGATGTTGGGACTTTGGATGAAGCAAAAAGAAACCATATAGTCTTAGAGTGACCATGTTTGCCAGCTGGAAATAACAGAACCGATAGAAAGATGGTTTAGGCTTTTCAAAGCACCTGAATATTAAGTAATTTAAGTGGCAAGTCTAAATCCTATCTGGGGCAAGGAGAATGGCAGGGATAGGAAGTAAAAAGGTTAAGGAACTCAATTGTATGGTGGTGAATGGAAGTTAGTGTTTTGGTGGTGATAATAATGTATATGTAGCTACTCAATTATATAAAGCCATTTGCCTGGAACTTATGTTATAAGCCAGGTTATTATTACCTCAATATCAAAAGAGACTGTTTATTAGAAAACAGTCTGATGATTAGAGTTTGACATTAAGTGCATAAAACAGTATGGTAAGAGGAAAAGGAAGGTGAGAAGGTTTCAGAGGTAATATTTATCCTGTAACTATGAAATCACAGTGTTGTTCACACAGTATTAAAAATATCATTGTCACTGGCACCGTCCTCCCGTTCATCGATTTGCTCGAGCGGGTCCAGTAACATTGTGAGACTTGTTACTGTTTTTGGCATATCAAATATGTGATGGGTAGCTTGCCAGGGTTTGCCGTGTGGGTGAGATACTCTCAGTAGCTTACTGGGCTCTCCGAGAGGGGCGGAGGAATCGAACTCGGGTTGGCCGAGTCAGCCCTGTGCAAGGCAAACATCCAATCTGCTGTGCTTTCGCTCCAGCCCCTTAAAAATACGAATTAAAAAAAAAAATCTATCTTTTTTAAAGCTTAATACAGAAATCACAAAAAGAGTTAGTATGAGGGTGGGCATAAGAAAATTAGGAAAAAAAGAGAAATACTTCTTAGGAAAGTGATAGGAAGAAAAGATTTGGAAAAACACTTCTAATCAAAGAAAGCTATAATTTTAGTTTTAAGAAGGTATTTTTGCAAAGAGGTGGAAAGATCATGGATTCTGTCTTGCTAGAAAAGTATCTGAAAATCATAGTGGTGCATAATTTCTTTTAAAGGTATCAGTGGTTTTATCTGTTTAAACATCTGTCTTTTTAATTATATAGTTTTGTAAGCTTAACTATGTTTTATTAACTTGAAATTCAAAGATTAATATACCTAACATGTCCCACACTTCAGAATCTTGCCTGAAATCTAAATTGAAAGTAGGAAATAAAAGATTATCTTTCAGTGGGTGTCATTAGTGACAGGTAGTTAAAATTATGTATTTTTAAGTCATTTGAAATATTTTCTTTAATTATGCTACTAACATAACATGCGTTTAGAATCTTTTGTTTATCTTTGGTTTTGAGCTTTAGGGCCTATTTTTCCAAGTCCAAAAATGGATATTAAATATTCACATTTTTAAAGTAAAACTTTTGAAACAGAGTAGGTTCAGAGAGGTCTAGCATCTATTCTCTTCTCATCTCTACCCTGTTTTTCTTTCTTTGCAAAAGACTTTGAAAAATATTTTTGGTTTATCCTACCATTACAAGTAAATATGTATATATATATATATATTTATGCTTACACCATTACAAGTAAATATGTATGTATATATTTATGTTTATAGCGGGTAGGGCATTTGCCTTGCATGCGGCTGACCTGGGTTCGATTCCTCCATCCCTCTCAGAAAGCTCAGCAAGCTACAAGAGTATCCCGCCCGCACAGCAGAGCCTGGCACATTCCCTGTGTTGTATTCGATATGCCAAAAACAGTAACAACAAGTCTCACAATGGAGATGAATTGATTAACAATGGGAGGACAGTGCTACATTTGGGGGTGGGTGGGCAAAGGAAGATCATTCCTGAGATCAGGGATCATTCCTGGAAGAGCTTGGGGGCCATGATATCATATGTGCTGGAGGATCAAGGCCTGCTTAGTGGTGTGCATGGCAAAAGCCCTTTCCACTTACTGTCTCTCTGGCCCAATAATGAAGTTTTTAATAAATTCCCTTTGTAATTTTTTTTAAGTTGGCTATATAGAAGTGTTTTTACTTTCTGGAACAAATAAGCAATTTATGAACAAACTTAAAGCTTTTTGGACTTAATACATCAAAGAATTGGCCAGGGGGTTTAATTATAAATGTAACTTCTGTTTTCTGTAAGACCTAGATTTATAGTGCCCTAACAGCATCAGAAAATTAAGAAAATTATTTGCTGACTAACAAATGTTATGTTTTTGTTTCTTAGAATGAAAATCTTGTTTGCTTTAAAGATATCAAGCCAGCAGCACCTCATCATTATCTTGTAGTGCCAAAGCAGCATATTGGAAACTGCAAAGATCTAAAGAGAAATGATATAGAACTGGGTAAGATGATGGTGTAATTTTTCATGGTATGGTATTTGGCATTGGCGTCAATTATGGCAGTGATGATTAAAAATAATCTAGTTAAGTATTATGAAAAAGCATTATGACTTTTTAAAATCTTTCATTATGTAATGGTCTACTTGAAAAGTTTTACAGTATTTTGGGTAAAGCAATAGTGAATCAATGTATTTTTAAATGATGCCTTTATTATGAAAATTTTCATATTATAAAGAGAAGAGTATGATCTTCATGTATTTATCACCCAACCTCAACATTGATTAACCCATTGCTGATTTTTTTCACATACTTCTTCTACAGTGAATTTGAAGCATATCCAGGACATTTTCATCTTTAAATTCTGCACTTAATTTTTTTCAATGCTGGGGAATAAACCCAGGGCCTTATATATACAAGGCAAGCACTCCGCTTCTGAGCTACATCCCTATATCTAAACGATAATACAGTACTATGACCTTTTAAATATTTTTCTTGACTCAGAAAATGAAAGGTACTATGAAAAATCAAAAATTATAATGTGATCTATGAGTTTATATTGCCTGTGAGTCTATATTGGTATCTACCTTATAGTTCTATATGTGGATAAATAATTTAAATATGTAATTTAAGTGTTGTGAATTGTTAGCCTCTGAAAAGGAGATTCTAAATCTTGTCTCTTGCAGTATCAATAGGATTATTTTCCTACTCATGACTTCTGTGACTTGTCAGCTATCCATCATTTATTAAGACTCTTCAGTTCAAATCTTTGATAGCCTTTTCTAAAACCAGGGTCTAGGATTAATTTCATCAATACTTTAAGGTATCTTATATGTTAGATAATTAGAGCTAGACTTTAGGAAAGCATCTAAGGAAGTTTTATAATGGAAAACTTTGATATGTAATCTTTTCTGTGAAATGACATTTTTTTCTGGATTTGTAAAGTTTCTTGGTCACCTGAAGTTCTGTAGTACTTTTCACAATCATTTCAGCAGAAAAGGCCAGTGTTCTTGGAATATTTACTATCAGACAGTAACCACATTAGTTGTATTTTTTTTTCTTTTATACCATTTAACCTTAAGGGGAAAATGTGTTTATGCTTCTTTTATTAGTTTTTGCTGAGTGTTTTTTCTATCTTATGAAAAGTTATTTGGTAGGAGATATAGCTCAGCAATTGAACACTTGCCTTGCATGTATAAGGTGCCCTGGGTTCTGCAGAATTCAAAAATATATAATTTTTTTACTTAATAAACAATTTCATTGAAAAGAGGTAGAAGGTAATCCACCCTTCCCCCACCCCATGGTTCTTGCAGTATAATTTTTTGCTCTGAGACTTTAGTGTCCCTTGGGCAGAAGAGGGAAGGGCGTGGGTCAGAAGTCATGGACTGTGCTGGGCCCTGGTTTCATTTTCCCCACACCGGAGTGTAGACAGCAAACCTGAAGTTTTCCCTGCTGCCCTGACCAAAGCTATGGGAACTTCAACTAGAACCTGATAGAAACCCAAGATTTTTAAGTTACAAATTTTGAGGCAGCATGTAGGTATTTGGTATTTTACTACACTATTCTTTTGTGTATTTCAAAGTATTTCCACAATAAAAGTGTATAAGTTATCGTAGTTAATTTTATATGTTCTATACAGTTAGGGTAATAAGCATACAGAAGAGATATTAAATACTTTGACTCTAATATTAATCAAATTCCTCCTAACTGCGGAATAAAAAATTTGTGCTTACCCAACAATGCTAGATGCCACTCAGGCTTCACCTAGCAGTGCTCTGGATGCTTTGTAGTACTGAGGTCAAGCCCAGGGTCTTTTGCAAAGCAGGCACATGGTCCAACTCTTTCAGCCCTGACCTTAGAATACACTTTTTAAGGAACACAAGGTTTACCATCAAGATATTTAATTTTCTGACAATAAAATATGACTATTTCAGATGATCAAAATATTACTAAATATATTCACCGATGTCCTAGATATATTCACTAAATATATTCACTGGAATTAGATTAGAAAAATAATGAAATCTCGAAAAGCTCTGAATATTAAAAACTAAATAGCATTCTTTAAAAGGACTTTCTAAATAATTTAGTAACAATATTTTGAATTAATTGTTGAATGACAAAATTCAGCAGCATACCAGAATTTGTGGAATGCAACTGAAGCAGCACCTAGAGGGAAATATTTCATTAAACACATAATTAGAAAAGGAGGTTTATCCCTAACCCAGGGATGCAAGGATGGTTCAATATTTGCAAATCAATTAGTGCAATATACCATGTTAACAAAAGAAAGATAAAAGTCATGTGATCATGTCAATTGATACAGAAAGATGATTTTTGACAAGATTCAACATCCATTCATGATGAAATCCTTCAAAAAAAGAAATAGAAAGTAATGGCCATCTATAACAAGCTCACAGCCAATATCGTACTGAATGGTGACAAATTGAAAGCCTTTCCCTTGAGATCAGGCATAGGCAAGAATGTCCACATTCACCACTATTATTCACATAGTTTTGGAAGTTCTAGCAATAGCAGCCATACAAGAAAGCAACATCAGAGGGATCTAGATTGGAAATGAAGAAGTAAAATTATCCCTATTTTCAGATAACATAACATTGAAAACCTAGAGAAGCCATAAAAAACCTAATAGAAATAATAAACCTATACAGTAAGATAGAGAATTGCAAAATCAGTACACAAAAAAGTTTGAGACTGCTGAGTGAGTTAGGCAGTGGTAGATATAGAACTGAGACTCAAGGTTGTTGACTCTTATTCGGTATCTTCTGTAGTGTAATGTCCTTTCTTTCCTGTTTTGTAGTTGAAAGCATGGTAAGTGCTGGAAAAGCCATTCTTGAAAAGAATGACTTCACTGACTTCAACAATGTAAGGTAGGTATGTATACTTCCAGGTGGAAACCAGCATACTATTCTTGATTCTCCTGATAGATTTTTTTTTTTAATGGAGAATGAAAGCAGTGGTAGCATAGTTCATGGTTGAAAAGCAGACTTTCTGAAAGTGAGAATACATATTATTGGTAATGTAAATATAATAAAAAATTTTCCCTCTCATATCTCATCATCTTACAATAATCACCAATCATAGATAGGATACACAAGTATGTTCAAGGAGTGGCTACAAGTAAATAGTTCCAAATTCGCTTTTCTTTGTTCAATATGTGAAGTCCTATGAAATTCTGTATAAATTTAATTTCTTTAGAAAAATTTTATTTTCTGTGATAAAAAAATACATTATTAGCCTTCTATATTAAGTTCACTTGATTTCAGCTGCCTATTGAACTGAACTCAGGCATTCAAAAAACTGTGCGTGAAAACACTTAGTGTTCAATTTTCAATTTGCCATTTTTAGTTGATCTGAATTTTTAAAAAAAAATAATACTTTACCTTGTGTGACCAAGACAGTATCAGAACAATGATAGTAGAAATGATTTGTAACAATTCTGAACTGAATCCTAGTGTTCTCTCTTGTATCTTGTTTATTTATTATCTGAATAAATTTAGACAAGTTATTTAACCTTTCCTAAATAATATCTGTTATATATGCTTGTGGGTTCAAATAAGTATGAAAATTCTCTGAAAATTGTTAAGCGCTAACTGTAGATGGTGATAACAAGGAATAGATGGTATTTGAAATTTTTGGCCAAACTCAGCACATTCCCTTCTCAGTCCTAGTAGGTGTGTTTAATAGGAGAATCAAATAGTTGAGTGAACTGTTTAATTACTTCTAGATTTTGTTTCCTTGATTCTTTATTGTATGTGAATGCCTTCCATAGAAGGGAGACTTAGTCTCCATTTCTAAGTAGTGGTAGGAGCTTTTCATAATGTGTGCTATAAATCTGACTGCATTTGTCAGTCTCATCAGATCATGCAACATAGCATTTCCTCTATGCCTTCTTCTGATGCTGTCACACACTTCTGGCTTGTACAGAAAAAATTTCTGGGTACATTTGTCTTGATCTACTCAGCATCATTATACTAAGAAAAAAAGTTTGTGAACTAGTTTTCAAGAGGTTAAATCATACTAATTTTTTCTGCCATTTAATGAAATGGCAGAAGTTCAAGTTATAATTTATAATTATAATTTATAATTAATAAAGTTCCTTATGAATATTAATAAGTAAATATGAATTATAGTTTTTTATTTTTATCATAAATAAATGTTAGGTGATAAACATTTTAAAAATGGTTAAATCTCTGTGCTAAAATAGTTTACTGAGAAAAATGACTGTTAAAAGAGAAAGTATGCCATCTAGTGGCTCTTTGGAATAAAGGTCAATTCAACGTGTGTGTGTGTGTGTGTGTGTGTGTGTGTGTGTGTGTGTGTGTGTCTTTGGAATAAAGGTCAATTCAATGTGTGTGTGTGTGATAGAGGTTAATTCAACTTGTGTGTAATAGACATCTTATTATCTCATTCCTACTTTGGACAAACTGGCAGGCTACCGAATGTAACCTGCTCACACGTCAGAGTCTGGCAAACTCCCCGTGGCATACCCAATATGCCAAATACCAGTAACAGTGATGGGTCTCGTTCTCCTAACCCTGAAAGAGCCTTGAATATGGCACTTTTTAAAATCTCAGGTCAAGGACAAAGGAGACGGTACTGGGGTCTGCTCGAGGAAATTGACGAATAACAGGATAGTTGTGATCGTGATCGTGTAATAGAGTCCAGATCAACATATGTGTGTGTCCCATTTGTCTTCCTTGCAGGCTCTCCATGTACACAAGGTGTGTGTGTGTGTGTGTGTGTGTGTATTTGTGTGTGTGCTCAGTTGTCTTCCTTGCATGGTCTCCATGTACACAGGGTGTGTGTGTGTGTGTGTGTGTGTGTGTGTGTGTGTGTGTGTTTGTGTGCCCAGTTGTCTTCCTTGCAGGGTCTCAGGACTGTGTCTGGTGTTGCTCTGGAGTACCATGTTGCAAAGGTGTCAAACCATGCTTCAACATGTGTATGGCATATGCCTTAATTTAATTTAACACTTGCATTTTCTCTCTACCCCCTGTCCGCTATCTGTTAAAAATAAATTCATTGCCGAATCATATCTTAAAAGAATTAAAAATTATTATGATAAAGGCTGAAGTAGGTATGCCAACTCAGAATCTGTGTTATTTTGAGGCATAATATGTCACCTTTAATGAAGAGAATAACTTCCTGTGAACTCTTTTAATTGGAAAGAATAGGAATTAGGTGAGTACTCTGAAGTATACAAAGAAAAACAGTTGTAAAGATTTGGGTCTATTTTAATATAATGTCTATTTTAATATAACTTAATATCTTTAATACTCATGTGTTTTGATCTGAAAAATACCTTCTAATTTTTGCATGACTGATTTTTCAGTGGTTTCTTGTTTTGTATTGTAGAATGGGCTTCCATGTGCCGCCATTCTGTTCAATTCACCACTTGCACCTTCATGTTCTGGCCCCAGTAGATCAGCTTAGTTTCTTATCAAGATTGATCTACAGAGTGAACTCCTACTGGTTTATTACAGTAAGTGTTACTATTGTACCCAGAGCATTTAAAAAAAATCACTAAAATATTTGTCTTTTTTATTGTAGGTTTTTTTTTTCCAACAAGAGGAACGTAAAACTTGTGCAGTCTTGATCATTTATTTTATTTTAAAATTTGGGATGGGGGGTGTTTGGGGCCATACTTTGTGTTGCTCAGTATTTACTCTTGGCTTTATGCTCAGGAAGCACTTCTGGCTGGAGGTGGTAGATGGGCTACTCCTGCCAGGGATTGGGGTACTATGTGGTCAGTTCCAGAGACTGAATCCAGTTCTTCTGAATGGGGTAGACTGTTGATGGATTTCCCCCCACTGAGGGGATACTATGTTTTGTCTCAGTTGCTTAATCTTTCTGGTCAGTGTATTTGAAATTTAAAAATTGGGGTGGCTGATAAGGTTTATGAAAAAAATCAGTGTAGTATAAAATTGATATTTTTCTTACTAGTAAGTCTAATTTTCAGGAAAACTAGAGGTGAAGACTTAGGAAGAGTTCTAGGGCATTCTGGTGGTGGTGGGGTCAGTAACTTTGTGTATTACTACCATAAACTTTAGCACTGTTGTAACAGTGTCACCTAAATTATAATAATTAAAAAAGTAAATCAAACAATTGAGACAAAACATAGTATTTCCTCAGTGGGGGGGAAACCCATTTTCATAACGCTTTTAACTATTTCCTTAACATGAATTTTAGTGGAAAAATATGAACAAAGGTGTAAGATCTGTTAGAAAATTGTTTAATCTGAGAATCTGAACTCTTAATATTTTTGAATGGGAATTTCTTAGTCTAAGACTTTGTCATGGTATATTTTGGCCTTTTAAAAAAACAAGGATAAAAATAATAGTTTATTTCAAAGTCTCTTGTGAAGGTCTAGAGAGAGAGTATGTAAGGCACTTGTTTTGCACGCAGCTGACCTGGCAACTCCTTGGGTCCTCAGGCATCACTAAAAGTGATGCCTGAGTACAGACTCAGGAGTAAGCTCTGAGCACTGCTGGATGTAGTCCCAAAACAAACAAAAACTCTTATGTACTATTCCAATTACATAAGATGATTGAGAAAAGCATGTGAAATTACAGATGTAATTTTTTAATATATCTGCAGTAAAAAATTATCACTTTCAACTTTTTAATAGGCTTTAGGTATGTATTTATTCTGTATGTATTTTTTTATGTATTTTTAAAATTTATTTTGTATGTATGTATTTTTCCCCCAACCTTCTTCATAACTATTGCCTTTCATCTCTTGCCCCTCAGATAATTGAACTAAATTGTCATAATGAGAAATAAGCTATTTGTTTGTTAGATTTAAATTCACAGGAAAAGTAAACACGAAGTTTAATACCCATGTGCCCTCTGTCCCCACACACTCTCAAAATCTGTCAATATTCTGTGGTCAGCATAGTAGGTTACATTTGTCAAAATTTATGCACTGCAATGACTCATCTTTATGACCTTCCAAAGTTCATGGTTTTTCTTAGTGGTTTAAATTAACTTTTTGTGTTGAATTTTCTGTGCGTTTGAACAAATAGTTCAGTCATGTGTTTCTGCCACTATAAGTGTTATACAAAATCCTCTGTGCTCTTTTTTGCCTTCTCTATCTTTATCCTTACAGTGTCTCCAGTTTTGCATTTCCTAGTTGGCATCAGATCTCATATATGGCTTTTTCAAATTGATTTTCATGACATGTATTTAAGGTTCATCAATTTTAGTACTATAATTTTATTTTCATATTGAAGCACCAATAAACATGTAATATGGTAAAATTATGCCAATTAATATGCCATGTAGAATTCCTTTACTATAGTTTTTAAACTCTTGAGTTTAAAATTTTAAGCTCAAATATTAATATTTAAAACTTTTAAAACTTTATGAGATATTTAATAAAATGTTTTTAGGAACAGCATATACAATATTTTTATGTGACTTACAGTAAGAATGTCAGTATAATTTTTACATAGATTATAATAATTGCAACGAAATATTTTTGTTTTTTTAAATTACAGGCTGATCATTTGATTTCAAAACTAAGAACATGAAAATGTCAACACGAAGATTTTCCTAATCTAGATTCAACATAAACTAATATTTTGGTCTCTATGAAATTTAATTGGAAGGCATTCTGAATTTTATGAGGGGTTATTTCTGGTTTTCTGAGTATCTTTACTGAAATCTGTAACACAGCTACATGAATATTTAGTCATTGACTTTTTTGTTTTAATTGTTAACTTGTCCAAAGTATAAAATGTAGATATAATACCATTAAAACAAATTCTGCCTATCAATAAGGGTTGTGTTTTTTTAAAATCTGAAATATTTTCAACTTTCTATAGTCTGCATAATAGTAAAGGATTTATTGAGAAATTATTTCTTAATTTCATCATCCTGTTATTCGTAGATTGCCTTGAGCAGGCCCCAGTAACGTCTCTTTCATCCTAGCCCTGAGATTATATTCAAGGCTCTTTAGGAGAATGAGACCCATCATTGTTACTGGTATTTGGCATATTTGGTACGCCACGGGGAGTTTGCCAGACTCTGCCCTGTGAGCAGGCTACATTCGATAGCCTGCAAGTTTGTCCAAACTAGGAATGAGATAATAAGAAGTCATAAAAAGATGTCCTGATATGATGTCGCCCGGCCGCATTTGCGGCCGCGCGGTTCCGGGAACTGGATTTTATAGTCTCTGAGTCTTGGCCGTTGATGGGATTACACGGCGCCAGGGGGCCAGGTGGTGGGTGTGACCCCCACCTACTGGAATTTGGAGGATCTGGGTGGAGGATGCTCGACTCCAATCCGAGTAGGCTTGGAGGTCTCGGCCCCGGAACCCGCGTGGCTTTGTCCCTCTGCCAGTACCTTCATGTGTGCGGAGAGTGGTCTCAGCATGGTGGAGGCTGGTCCTGGAGATCTTCGGCTGCCGGAGCCCTGGTCGGGGCGGGGAGGAAAGCTCAACCCGCACCCCTCCAAGGGGCCCAGGCGAGGAACAGCCAGGTGCGGGGGCAGAACTATTTAATAGTTCTATAATTTTACATAGGTAATTTCAAAAGAGTACCGTAATGTACGGTGACTCTTATAGATGTATATGTATCATTTTTTACTAAGCTCTCAAATGCTGTTTCCATTTCTTGAAGCTTACCATCTTGTGATAAATTGTTGTAAGAGTTATGCAATATATATAAAATGAATATATATTCATGTATATTCGTATAGATGTACATGGTTTTTGGCCACACACTGTGGTCCTTGGGGCTTATTCCTGGCTTTGCACTAAGGTATCACTCCCGGCAGACTCTGGGAAGTGTATGGGATGCTGGGGATCAAACCCAGGTTGGCCGCATGCAAGGCAAATGCCTTACCCACTGTACTATTGCTTTGGCCCACTTTCTAAAAATGAATTTGCAGTAATCACTATTTTAGCTATCTAAGAGAATTCAGTGTAATGGAACTTAACCTGTGAGAAAATAAATTAGGGAGAAGCATAAAATACTATATTAATGTCTTAAAATGGACACAAATTGTTGCTTTTATGCTTTCTAGTGGAAAACAAGAATTAAAATGTATTAGAACGAGCTATTATGAAAAAGACATGATTTAAGTGTTTGGTTTAGATGAGGAAATTTACTTTAGCAATACGCCAAAATTCATTGGCATATACTTTCATGAGACTTTAAAAATTTTTTTAAGGAATTGTTTTTGGATGCTTTTAGTGACAGTAGTGAATGCAAATGAAGCATAGGTACTGAATCTATTCCCACTGTGACAGTGTAGAAGAGTATCACATGCATGACTATAAATATATATGAGGGTAAAGTATCGATGTTAGAAGAAGGCTGTGAGTCTAATATTAGACTCAATATTAGTCTGGTACATGGTGGAAATTGAGGCAGATATGAGACCCATAATTGAATGTCAGCCTTTGATTGTATTCAGTGGAAGTGGAGAGATTATTTAGAATTAGGAGTGATAACTTTCAAAATTAGATTTTCAAGTTTTTTTACCATTTTTGAGTCATTTGATGAGCAACTAAAATGGATGAGTAGTTTCTGCTCTCCATAAATCAGTTAAAGATGGTCAGTTTCAGAAAAGGGATGTTCAACATGTGCAAATATATGCTATGTGAACTTACAATGATATAATTAAAAATAGATAAGGTATTTTCAAATGCCTTAAAATGTAATTAGACAGCTAATTTATTTAGGCTTATATCTTCTCTAATACGTCTTTCTGAATTTTTGGAAAACACTTGGAGTTTCATATATTTATTGGCAGTTCTCTTTTACTTGTAAAGATTAATAAATTACAGTTAAAATTTACTCAGCCTCGGGGCTGGAGCGATAGAACAGTGGGTAGGGCGTTTGCTTTGCACACGGCCAACCCAGGTTCGATTCTCAGCATCTCGTGGTCCCCTGGGCACCGCCAGGAGTAATTCCTGAGTGCAGAGCCAGGAGTAACCCCTGTGCATTGCCAGGTGTGACCCAAAAAGAAAAAAATTTACTCAGCCTAACACTAATTGGTAACTGTAGCTATCTGTGACATCAACTAATTAACTTACTTTAAACTGTTTAAAATAGCATTGAGAGCACTATATATGTTGGTAGCACTGTAGCACTGTTGTCCCCTTGTTCATCTATTTGCTCCAGCGGGCCCAGTAACATTGTGAGACTTGTTGTTACTGTGGTTGGCATATCAAATACATCATTGGTAGCTTGTCAGGCTTTGCCACGCAAGCAAGATACTATCGGTAGTTTGCCAGGCTCCTATCGGTAGTTTGCCAGGCTCTCCGAGAGGGATGGAAGAATCGAACTCGGGTCAGCCGGGTCAGCAGCGTGTAAGGTAAACGCCCTACCTGCTGTGCTATTGCTCCAGCCATATATGTTGGTATTATTTGTAATTGCAGAACTGTAAAATTATAAAGCTATTTCAAATTGTGCATACTTGGAAAGCTAAATAAATATGAAAAATTCTCTGTCATCAAATTTTCCCTCTTTGAAATTTTAAAAAAGATTTGGGTCACACCCAGTGGTGCTCAGGGGACCATACTCAGTATTGAATTGATGCTGTCAGCCACATAAAAGACCAAGAGCCATAACCCCTGGACTTACTCTGGTGCCACCTGTGCTATCTTTTTAAAAAGGACTTGTCTGATTTTGTTTGGGGGCCATACCTGGCAGTGCTCAGGGCTTACTCCTATCTATTCGCTGGCGGGGAGGGAGGGGTTGTCACTCTTTGAAGGGGCTGGGGGGGGGAGGGCTGTATGGGGTGCCGAGCCTATATAGAACTTGGGTCAGCTGCATGCAAGTCAAGTGTCTTACCCGCTATAGCACTGCTCCGGCACCTAAGGCTTCAATTTTAGGTTCGCAGCAAAAATGAGAGGACGGTACACATTTTCTATATACCCTTTATTCCAAATACTTTCCTTCCTGTCAGTGTAGACTAGATTGAATTGACATCTCAGAGTCACCCAAAGTTCATTGTTTATTTAGGATTGGCTTTGGTATTGAGCAGTCTATCAGTTTGGAAAAATGTATCATCCCTTGTATCCATCATTATAGTTTCAGAATTATTTTTCTAACTATCCTAAAACTCCTCCTTACCAATTCTCGACAACCACTGATCTTACTGTCTGCAAAATTCGCCCTCACTGGACTGTTAGAGAGTTGGAATCATGCAACCTGTAGTCTTTTCAGCTCAGATCTACATCTACTCTTCAGCTCGGATCTACATTAAGGTCATCTCTTTTTGTCTTCCTGACTCAGCCCAGCCCCTTAGCACAGAAAGCACAGTATTCAGGTTTGTGACATTTATACATCCACCTGCTGAAAAGGAGATCTGGGTGGTTTTTCCAAGTTTCGGCAGTTACGAATAACGCTGCTACCCACATCCGCGTGCGGCATGTAGTTTTGTCTAAATGGCAATTTTCAACTTCTAGTCGTGAATGTCGAGGATACCTGACGAGTCCGTTTGGTTCCTGAAACGTACTCGCACTTTCTCCACAACTCTTCATATGGGAGGGGCACGGGAGAGGAGCTAATCTTCCTACATACACCCAGCCTTGGGGAAATTAAGAACCTGCTCCTTGGGCTCCGGGACCTCAGCCTTAAACACGCAGCGCTTAGTCCCGCCTCGCCGTTTCCGTTTCCGGTCCTTCCAGCTCCGCCTCAGCGGAAACGTCTCAGGGGAAAGGGGGCGGGCCCAGGAGCAGTGCAGCCGCGCAGGCGCAGTCTGGGTGGCCACCATGGCGCTACCGAGCTCTCTGAATAGGTATCTGCTGCTCATGGCGCAAGAGCACCTGGAGTTCCGCCTGCCGGTGAGCCCGCATTGTCCTCCGCCGCATGCACGCAACGCGAGGAAAACGGCGCCGTGCGGGGCGGCTGTGTGTGTGTGTGTGTGTGGGAGGACTTTGATGTGAGGATGGGATGCAGAGGCTACTCGGGGATCTACGCGGGCGCTGGGGTGCAGGTGCTGGCCGGGGCTGTCACGCGCCCCAGTTCATCCTCGGCCGCCGGCAGGAACCCGAGTTGGGCGGGGAGCGTGCGAGGTAGACGACCGAGGCAGACCACCGCAGCCTTTGCTGTGCATTTTCATTCATTCCTCTACCCTAGTGCCAAGTCCCCGGGCTTGGCGGTTGCAAATCATCCGTGTTCTTCCCGCGCAGTTCTTCGGGTCGTCTCGCCCCAGGGTTAGCGGGAAGTCTCCGCTAGGGAAACGGGCCCGGTGCAGGGGGTCGTTTGCAGGATTGACTGTCTGTGCGGGGAGGGGTGCGGGAGTGGTCAGTTACTTACGGTAGGATGGTGGAGAAGTGGGCGGGGGTGGTCAGTTACTTACGGTAGGATGGTGGAGAAGTGGGCGGGGGTGGTCAGTTACTTACCTTAGGGTGATGGAGAAGTGGGCGGGAAGGGATGGGGAGATGTTTTTCGAATTCAAACAATGTTTTTAGAGTCACGACAAAAGTTTCTGTCTTCAGAGTCCATGCCGTGTGGGCTAAGAGCTGAACATAGACGTTAACTTGATATCATGAAATTACTTAAGATCAGTGATTGGAGATGTACCAGGAAATGAGAACAGGGGAACCCAAATCACTTGAGGATTTTTTTTTTCTTTTTTGGGGCCCATCCGCCAAAGCACAGGGGTTACTCCTGGCTCATGCACTCAGGATTTACTCCTGGCGGTGCTCAGGGGATCATATGGGATGCTGGTAATCGAACTCAGGTTGGTTGTGTGCAAGGCAAACACCCTACCTGCTGTACTATTGCTCCAGCCCCCACTTGAGGATTTTTTTGTTGTTGTGTTTGTTGCCTAATTTCATTCTCTGGAACCTCCAGCACAGTGTGTAATAAAAGTGATGGTATTGGACACACCAGTCTTGTTCATGAGCTTGGGAGGAAAGCATTAACTATCCTACAGTTAAGTATACTTAACAGTCAAAATTCTCCCAATGGTATCAGACCTTTGTCATAATAAGAAAGCTCCTTTCTATTCTTAATCTTCAGGGACTTTTTGTTTTAGGAATATTGAGTTTGTCAAATCTGAATTGTAAATATGGTTTTCTTTTTTTTCTAGGTTTTTTTTTTTTTTTTGCTTTTTGGGTCACACCCGGCAATGCACAGGGGTTACTCCTGGCTCTGCACTCAGGAATTACTCCTGGCGGTGCTCAGGGGACCATATGGGATGCTGGGGATCGAACCCGGGTCAGGGGCGTGGAAGGCAAACATCCTACCCGCTATGCTATCGCTCCAGCCCATTTTTTTCTAGTTTTCAACATGGCAAAAATATATTACTGTTTACCTTCAAGATTGCTTCCATCCGTCTGTGGTGGTTGAATTTGTAAGCTGAAGCTAGACTAAGGACAGAAACAAATAAATTAGAACTGTTTCTACTGAATTCGTTTCTACTGGATTGCCAAATACATGGCAGATAGCAACTGGAAGGAAGCTGGGAGAGGTTGTGCTCAGGGATCATTTCTGGTGGTGCTCAAGAGACCAGGTGCTGTGCCAGGGTTAGAATGAGAGTCGATCTCGAGTGGAATTAGAGACCAAAGAAGGTGAATACCACAGTTAATTTTCTCAGGCAAGGCTGTGAGAATAAGTGTCAGGCTGCATATTTTAAGTATAGTATTCTTGGGCCAGAGAGATAGTTATAAGGGTTAAGGCACTTGCCTTGTGTGTGACCAGTCCTGGTTCAATCCTGGGCACCACAGATAGAGAACCTGGGCGTTGAGCCAGGAGTAAGCCCTGAGCATCATGGGGCATGATAACCGTCCTTCTCCCCCTACCCCTAAACAAAAATAAAAGAAGACCATTCTCAATACTTGGTTGTTTCAGTTTTTTCTTAAATTTTTTTTAGTCTGTGCTTACCCTGTTAACCAGTTGAATCTACCTGTCTTTTTTCTCTTCTTTCCCCCAAAGCCTACTCCCTTAGCAGTCACAAAATAATTTATTTTACATTGCTTGTTGGCCCGAGCGATAGCATACCAGGTAGGGCACTTGTCTTGCATGCGGCCGACCTGGGTTCGATTCCTCTGCCCCTCTCAGAGAGCTCAGCAAGCTACTAAGAGTATTCCGCCTGCATGGCAGAGCCTGGCAAGCTACCTGTGACATATTCGATACGCCAAAAACAGTAACAAGTCTCACAATGGAGACGTTATTGGTGCCTGCTCAAGCAAATGAATGAACAAGGGGAGGACAGTGCCACAGTGCATTGTTTGTTACAACTAAATGGCTGATGGAATTATCAGAAAATACTTCAGTAAAAGAAAATTTGTGAAAATTGTTATATCTTACCAGGGATTGTTTAAGTCCTTGTCTGAGGGTTTGTTAATAGTTGAGTCTTCTGTGTTATTGTTTATTGAGCTTAGTCAGCTTCTATGTTACTTTCCTGTCTAAATTGGTGTGAACTTACTGAGCTGACAGTATTATGGAATTTGGAGGCTCCCCAAACTCCAGGACCTGTAGAACTGGGCCAATGAGTTTACACAGTGGAAGCTGTAGGATGTGAGTGTATCTCCCAGAATTTCTGTAAGTATGGGGCTGGGGGTGAGGGAGTGGGAGTGGTAGACTGTCTGCCCCCATTCCAAGAAGACCCCAAAGGTTTCAACTTGAAAACCGGTGTACCTGGAATTTTTATTGATTCCTATTTTATTTTATTTTTAGGAATGTTTATTGAGACACCATGATTTACAAAGTCGTTCATAGAGTTATTTTATGCATATGATGTTCCAACAATAATCGCACCACCAATGTCCCCTTTCTACCACCATAATATCTCTAGGTTCCCCTCCCACTCCCCAGTCTGGCACCTTGGCAGGTATATAACAAATTTATTTCATATTTCTAGGTCCAATAAAACTTAAAGGAATGGAAAATAGAATTATCAAAAAATGTCAATTTGTGATGAGTAATTGTTATTATTATTTTTTTTTAATGTAGGAGTACTGCTGTTTATTCAGCCACTAACTTAGATAATCGAATTGTGCATGAACTCCACTTTACTCTTTTTTTAAAATTTTGTGTAATTTTATTAATTGAATCACCATGAGAGCAGTTACGAAGCTTTCAGGTTTAAGTCTCGGTCATACAATGAAACACCTGTACCTTCACCAGTGCCTATTTTCCACAACCAAAAACCTCAGTATACCCCCATTCCGCACCCTTCCCCTATCTGTGGGGCAGATGATTTCCACATTACTCTCTCTCTATTTTAATTACATTCAATATTTTGACACCAGACCCATCATTATTATTTGAGATTTTTACCCCAACACTCAGATCTGCTGAAAAGGCAACAGTAGACAATTTGTTTTCTATTGCTGGTTATGAATAACATATGGTGTCTTGTGGCTGCAGTAGTGGCCACACGATTTTGGAATTCCGAAGTTTTAACAATTAAATCTGGAGGGATTTCTGCCAAAACGTGCTGTGTTCCGAGATTTGTTCCTTAGTCTCTTGGATCATGGCCGTTAAGCAGCTTGATCAGGAGCCAGAAAGGCTGTTCATGGGTGTCAACTCGGGATCTCATTGGGACAGGAAGGAAAGGGCTGGCTCCACCCCCATCCTGTGAGGCCTCATGTGTCTCGTCACTGAGGGCCCAAACCTGACTTCCTAATGGCCTCTGGAGGATGGCGGCCACCCAGCTGCCTAGGGGGAGCAGGCGGAGAGGCAACAGCATTTCCCTCCTGGGTCGGCCTGGCAACAGTAACCTACTGCGGGGTCCAGACACATTTCTGCCAAAAGCCACTGAATTCCGAGATTTGTTTCTGAGTCTCTGGGATCATGGCCGTTAAGTAGCTTGATCAGGAGCCAGAGAGGCCGTTTGTGGGTGACAACTTGGGGTCTCGTTGGGGTGGGGAGGAAAGGGCCGACTCCACCCCCATCCCGTGAGGTTTCACATGTCTCATCACTGAGGGCTCAAACCTGACTGTCCAATGGCCTCTGGAGGATGGCAGCCACCAAACGGCCTAGGGGGAGCAGGTGGAGGGACAGCACCCTTTCACCCTTGGGGCAACAGCACCCTTTCACCCTTGGCAGCCACCAAACTGCCTAGGGGGAGCAGGTGGAGGGACAGCACCCTTTCACCCTGGGAGCAACAGTCCCGGCAACAGTAACCCCTGCGGTCCCAGATACATTTCTGCCAAAAGCCACTGAGTTTCAATATTTGTTTCTGAGTCTCTGGGATCATGGCCATTAATCAGCTTGATCAGGAGCCAGAGAGGCCATTTGTGGGCAGGGACTTGGGGTCTCGTTGGGATGGGGAGGAAGGGGCCAGCTCTACCCCCATCTTGTGAGGCTCCACGTGTCTCATCACTGTGGGCCCAAACCTGATTGTCCAGTGAACTCTGGAGGATTGTGGCCACCGGGCCGCCAGGGGAATAGGCCAAGGCACTAAAACCTATTCCCACCTGGGTTGGCACTAAAACCTATTCCCACCTGGTCCTACTGCAGGGACTGACTGGACGCATTTCTGCAAAAGCTTCTGGGTTTCGAGATTTGTTTCTGAGACTGTGGGACCATGGCCATTAAACGGCTTAATCAGGAGCCAGAGAGGCCATTTGTGGGCATCGACTTGGGGTCTCGTTGGGACGGGGAGGAAGGGGCCAGCTCTACCCCCATCTTGTGAGGCTTCACGTGTCTCATCACTGTGGGCCCAAACCTGATTGTCCAGTGACCTCTGGAGGATGGTGGCCACCGGGCCGCCAGGGGAATAGGCCAAGGCACTAAAACCTATTCCCACCTGGTCCTACTGCAGGGACTGACTGGACGCATTTCTGCAAAAGCTTCTGGGTTTCGAGATTTGTTTCTGAGACTGTGGGAC